CTGACCTTTGCCCATTTTTTGCAAAGTAAGGTGACAAGTGGCAGATGTCCAGCAGCTGAGGCGTAACAGAGAGAGGTCATGCCGTTCTCTGACTGCCCATCCACTGGTGCCCCACACTCCAGGAGCAAAGCAGCCATCTCCAGGTGGCCCAGGTGAGACTGCACACACAGTACTGGTGCACTGTTCAACACCTCAGTACGGTAACACACACTCGCCCCTCCCAGAATCAGCAACCGAGACACCTGGGGACAAAGGTAAGACTGGTTTTAACACAAGAAATTAAGTAACCGGTTCAATTATAAAGTGTTTGAGGGCTTCACAGAACAGTTCTCCTTGTTGTAACACATAGTTGTACTTATATATACAAACCTGATTCCAAAAAAGTTGGGACACTGTACAAATTGTGAATAAAAACAGAATGCAATGATGTGGAAGTTTCAAATTTCAATATTTTATTCAGAATACAACATAGATGACATATCAAATGTTTAAACTGAGAAAATGTATCATTTTAAGGGAAAAATAAGTTGATTTTAAATTTCATGGCATCAACACATCTCAAATATATATCTCATCATGCTTTAAAAATCATTGTCACAATGTATAGGCCAAGTTACAGTTATTCACTCAATTTACAATCATTTTGATTTGATTTCAGCACACAAACCTCAATTTACAATCTACAGCTTCAGTCTACAGAATCAATCTACATCTTCCATCTATATCAATTTACATATTCAATCTATAGCCCCAATCTACATACAGTAGTTGCAATCTCAATTTACAGTCTACATCTTCAATCTATAGCCTTTTTTTCAATCTATAGCCAATTTATAGGTTAAATCTACAGCCTATATCTACATCTTCAATCTACAATCTTAAATTATAATCTACAGCTTCAATTTACAATCTAGAGCCTTAATATAAAATCGATAGCCTCAATCTATATCTTCAATCTACAACCCAAATCTATAATCTAGAGCATGTTTAATCTATAACCTTAATTTACAGCTTCAGTAAACAGCCTTTATCTTTAATCTACCGTTCCATTGCCTAATCTACAATCTACAGCATTAATCTACATGTGCAATCTACATACCAAAATGTATATCTTCAATCCACAGCCTATATCTACAATTTACAGATGCAAGCAAATCAACAGCCAATCTATGCCTTAATATACAGAATATATTCAAAATACAGCTTCAATCTATAATCTACAACTTCAATCTACATGTGCACTCTATAGCCTCAATATATAGCTTCAATATACAGCCTACTGTATATGTACAATCTACAGTTTCAAATCAATAGCTATCTATAGCCTCAGTCCATTTATTCAATATATAGCCTCAATCTCAATCCCTCTACCACGGTTTCCTGCCCCGCCATTTTAATTGGATCAGTAATAATTTGTCTAATCATAAAACCAAACCAAATGACTTTGAAAATAGGTATATATAACACCTATATACACATGTGTATGGGTGGTTTGGGGAATCCATCCAAAATTTTACAAAATATAAATTTTTAGTCTTCTGTGAAAGTGACTTGACTGATTAACCGAACTCAGTCTATACTAGCTAATGAAGGATGCCAGGTATGAAGGATTTCAAAGAACAGCCTCTGATTCACAAAATGCGCTGTTAGATGCTGATAAGATAAGATGCAGTTAAGTCCTAATATTCTTAATATTCTGGAATAGCAAAAGTAAATGCGTAAATTTAAGAAAAATGTTAATATAAATAATAATAGTTATTTAGTTATTTTTTGCGTGACGCTCCTGCATGAATTCATACTCTCCAATTGGGGCGAAATGAACACAACCTGGCATTATTTCTTTTTTGTGGACATGGGCAGTGTGGTAATGGAAGCTTGATTAAGATGCTGGATGAAAGAAGAACACATTAAAAGCAAAGGAAGCAGAATTGCGTTTATTTATACAAACACAGCAGGAATTAATGAGCAGCTCTCCAGCCAAATGGCTGTCAAGGACGCTGGCGTGCACACACGGACTCAGAATGACGTTCGTTTCATTAAAACTCCGTAGGGGAGGAAATTACAGGGAGAGCGGAGTCTAGACTGCAATTAACATATAATAGATTTAATAAATAAATGTAGTCATTACGTAAGGCATTTTTCAGTAAGCCTCAGCGCTAATTACCATGTTCTATGTGACTTATGAAATCTCGTTCATTGTGGATGACTCAGAACTCTGCAAGACTATAGCTCTTACTGTGCGGTTGAATGCATCAGTCGCTGTAATTGTTGGAGCCGTGTTCTACAATTCAGGAGCTCAAAGCAGTTGTTCATTTTTATACTTTACTCAAGATTGACGCTGTTTTTTATAAGTGAAGGTCTCATTGGCACATTGAGGACGAGTATGTGTTTGTTTTTTGTGTGTGCATATCCTCAAACCTTGACGTTGGGTGTGTAGAGGTTTCTGAGGGAGGAAAGAGCTGCAGAGAGGCTGTCTGTACTGTAGCTGATCCACAAGGGTTGCAGAATACTTGACGAAACCCCAGTTCTCTTACTGTGACCCTGAGGACATAGAGAAGGATAGGCAGGAAGAATTAAAATGCAGGTCACACCACTCAAACAAACACAGAGAAGGATTTCGAGCATCTGAGTTTCCTACCTTGAATATGTGAGCTTTAAGAATGTGGTGGCCCAGCTCCATAGTTTGCTGGCGGTTGAGTTTTCCCTCTTGACGTGATAGCAAGAAGGCCATCAGAGCGTGGCCACTTCTGTTTACCAACATTAATAACAATTCATCAAAAATCACCATCATAATGAAGACCATCATCCAGTTTCATCATAAAAATGCTGCTCTTGAGGGAACTTTTTTTTTTTTTTTTTGGTATGGTCTTTTTATTCAAAGGATTTTTTTTTTCAAAGGACTATTTTCAAAACTGAAAAAAAAATAGTTTGGATCAATATTACTGTTGGTCGTTTAACATTTCTATTATATGCTTAGCTACTTACATCATACCATCTTGCACTCTTTCACTGTTAAAAACTGAAGTGTCACGCTGGAATACATTTTTGGAATATGTGAACAGTAAAGCCTGCCATCTTTGATTTGATTGGCCATCTCAATCATTTTGACATGGAGCATTGTTCGACTGCTGAGGCAGACCAGTATAAAAATGTAACTCAAAATTTTGTCATAACAAACAGAGCAGCATCAAAATGATCTAATTTTGGGGAAGGACTTGTCCCCCTCAATGTCTATAATGGTTATGGCCCTGGTCTAAATGGCCCTACAGATGCTTAATGTTGTCCTTACAGACAGCAAAGTTTTTTTCTCTCTGAATCACAGTCCATGAATTTTTATTTTTACGAGTCCATGTTTGATCTGTGTTAAGTGGGTCACTCTACAGTTTATAACCGTGATTAGGCCTTTCTAAATGAGAATACTGAGTAATGTGTGTGTGTTTAGGTGGAGAGATAACTGAATGTCTACAAAATGAAAGAGAACTACACAAGAGTAATTTCATGTTCAAAGGCTACACACACACTCAAATGCAATTTAGTTATTCCATTTCTGAACTCAATTAACAAACCAACGAATCACACATAATAGATGGCGGACCTGTACAGGTCCTTCACACACTCTGCGGTTGCTAAGGTGTTCTGATCAGTTGCAGCACATTGCTATGAAGTTTCTAAGGTGTTTTGAGCAGTTTTAGTTGCATGATCCCCCTACTATATGTAAGAATTTTCATGCATTAATCGTTTTTTATTGCCAATGTGTGAACAGTTGTAAAGCAACATAAAAATTATGTGACCTTCCTAGGTTTCCTATAACAGTCTGTAGACTGATTTTTATGTGAATTACGCAGGTTGGTTTTGCTGTTTTTTATCTGGCTAAGTAAAAGTATTAAAGGTTGGGTGAAAACTGGGGTGAATATCAAACCAACCCTGAATGCAGTTCACTTAATGGCAACCGGTGTCATTAATAACAAGGATTTTCTGATTCTTACATGCAGTATATTTAAGCGCAATCCCCTCTATGCAGCTGATTCTAAAGATTCCATTAGTCAATTCACTTGCTAGTTTAAGAACATTCCAAGAAAATATTCCAAGTAGATTTAACACGTTGCTATGAAGTTACTAAGGTGTTTTAGAAGTTTTAACACATTGCAACTCAGTTGCTTGGGTTTCAGAGTAGTTTTATCACATTGATATTTGCTTGGTAGGGTGTTTTGAATAGTTTTAGTGCATTGCAAATCACTTATTAAAAGGATAGTTCACCCAAAAATGAAAATTTTATCATCATTAACGCACCCTCAAATTGTTGCAAACCTGTATGAATAGGGACCTTCACACCAGAAGAACGTTTTCAAATAACTTCCTATAACTATTGGTGGAAGTACTCGCTTTTTGGCGTATTCGCTCCACAGGAACTAGGAACAATTTTAGTTATAGGAACGCCTTTTGAGTAAATTAGCATCTACTTCAGAGTAAGGTCTAACCCAGCACAATAGGAACTACCAGTGATGTAAGTGATTCGCCAAATGCATGCCATACGAAACACAGACACCTGCCATTTTTAAAAAGCCTTGTAAACACACAGTTTAAATATACACAAAGTAACTCCACGAGCATAGAAAACAGCGACAGATGGACTGACACCAAAGTCCAGGCACTTCTCTGTCCTCCATCCTCCAGTTGTCGACGTTGTTGAATTCTGCGCTTAGGGTAGGGACACATTAAACGGATGCCCAAAAAAAAAGAGTTGAGGAAAGCCAACTGTGCAGTCACCTCGCATCACCTGCGTCGGGGCAAAAAAAGTTGCACTAGAACACACTGGACTAGACAGACTACAGCCGACGGCCAACTAGCGTGTACGCTCTGCGCTTGTCTGAGAAAACATAACGCTCCCATACCAGCAGGTGGCAGTAGTCTGTATTTGGCGTTCAAACAGGGAAACCAGAAGAGCTAGAACTGTGGATTTACACAGCAAACAGCGCTTGCTTTTACCACAGTTTCCACCAGTAGTGTCCTCTCCTGGATCATAGTGATTAGCTGGTCTTCGACATCTTGATTCCACAAAGCCATGGTATTACCATGGTACTATTAAATCCTCTGGTCAAATGAGGTGACAAGACAAGTGACAAGAATGACAACAATTGTCTCTGCGTTCCATCTTTGGGTACCCAATCTTGTCACTGGAGATCTACCTTCCTGCAAAGTTCAGATCCAACCATAATCAAATACATCTGAATCAGCAAGTTAAGATTCTCAGGAACAGAAAAAGGACTGGGCACTCCTATTGGAGATCTAACGCATTGCTATGCACTTTCTGGAAACTTTTGGGCAATGCGCTACAACTGCTGTTAACACCTTAGCAACTTCACCCTTGCCTTAACAAACACCAACAAAACCAAACAGAACTATTCTTATTTGTGTCAGACGAAATGTCATCACTGCTTACCTTGGGTCGCACAGGAAGTCAGTGCTGTCACCATCCGCCCTCCATACAAGCCACTCCCTAAAGGAGGGGTGGCAGAACATGCGAGTTCTGTCTCGACGGCCAATCAGAAAGCAGGAAAGAGCGTCCATGCGCTGCTGGAAGTCCTCCCACTCCAGTTCTCCTTTCATGGACCCGGCGTTCAGGGCCCGGTAGAGCTGTTCATCCGTCAGAGGGTGCAAAGATGCTAGAGCCACGTTTAGCAGTGGCAATACTCGTTCAAATGCTGAGGCCGATGGGAATTTCATGTTGCACTGCAGCAGGTAGAGCTCAGACAAAGACACAGGTATAACCTTATAGCTGGAGCTTTTAATGACCAGCTGACCCTTCTCAAACAGGTCGAGGGTTAATTTTAAATAAAGATATGAGCCTTGGCTGCGGGCGACCAGGTGGGCACTGAGTTTAGAGATGATTGCTGGGTCGGCTTTGCCATTGATGGCAATGTTGCTGAGGATATCAGGGCTGTGGTCTATACGGTGCTGGATGTAGGAGGTGAGGTCAGAGGTTATATCCTTGTTGTTATGAAAATCATCCAGAAAGATGATGGGAAAGGGGAGGAGACTGGTGACTTCCTGTGAGAAGATCAACAAAAAAGCCAATGCAAAGACCCTTATGAGTTATAAAATAAAATACAACAAGTTCTTGAAAATGTACTTTTGTATTTATGATGATATGTTCATTTGATTTTGAGAAACCTTTATACCATTTTTTAAGAAAAATTAAGAAATGTTTAATGACTGTCATGGTCACGGTTTCCACATCAAGATTAAGCAGCAAAAATAAATTACATTTCGCAATATATAAAATGAAAAATCTAAATTCTAATAATATTTCACAATACTACACTTTTTATTGTATTTTTGATCAAATAAAAATACAGCCTTGGTGAGCATAAGAGACTTCTTTGAAAAACATCTAGAAAATCTCAAATATTACAAACTTTTGACTGGTAGTGTATTTTTCAAGGTATCTTTTATAAATATCACAAATTATGAATTTAAAAATATCTTCAAGTTTTTGGGGAGTCACACCACATCACATTTTACAATCTTAACTAACCTTGCCATGTCATAAAAAGTTAAACAAATTATCTGATATTTATAAAGAGGCTTGACACACAGTCATGGGGGTCTGCGGGGGTCCTCGCTGTGACATCATGTTGGTTGCACCACATGACTTTGATCAATAAATTACAAAACATCAAAACTACACAAAATGGCCACTTTTGACAATGCCTGCATAATTCAGATACTGGTAATACAGCTTTCTGCCAGCTGCAATGGAAAGACGTGCAATTAAATATGAAAAAAGGCTGGGATTTTAAGGGATGAACCTTCACTGGCTGTTCTGCACCACAGCACAAGAGTAACGACCACCAGCCTTCCCAAAGAACTCCTATTTCTTCTCTTTAATAATTATCGTTCCTTTCAGTTTACAGTTTTGTGCTGTAACCACTGACAACAGGGTGCCCTTGATGACTGCAAGAGGGAAAATTAATGAATACTATAAAGGACCACAAAAGTCTGTTCATTTTTTATCTTACTGCACATCCTCATCATCATCTGCATGCAAATCACGACAAATGTTTTCCAATCAAAACAACTGCAGGATTAATGCTGTAGAATAAACACCGGCAGCCTGGTTGTGTGGGTTGTCTGGCACTTTTAGGTCACTGCTCCGAGAAGTAGTGAGTGAGAGAGAAAGAGACTGTGTACGTGTGTGAAAAGTGTATAGGGACATGCGTAGCATCTGCGGTGTTGCATCACAGCCCTTATCCCCTCTTATATAAGCTTGGTTCCTGCAGGCCAGAGTCCAGCTCTGATCAGACATGGATTACACACACCCACCCTACAACACTAGCCACTGACCAGCATCCAAAACTCACCACTGCAACCATTCTGAAAGCTCAGATTGCACATCAGGACACTGAGAATTTAAAACCTTCTCAGTAGTCTTACTTCGTATTAAAACCAGCAAAAAATTGTCTAGCCAAAGTTAGGGTGCAGCCAATGCAAAAAAACAAAAACTTACCACTACGTTGACCCTGATGGTCACAATCAGTTTAAGCCAAATAGGAAATTTGGAGATGATTTTGGTGATGAAAGTCGCTATGGTGTCTCCATAGTCTGGTTTGTGGTACTCTGCCTCATTAAAACCGTCCACTAGGATGATGTAATCTTCTTCTGGAATCTTCCGCTCTGCACAACAAAATCAGAAATTACATGGTTAGACGAACTAGAAGTCCTGAGTTTGTTAAGAGTTTGCATCCTGGCATTACGTGGGTGTGTTCAGGTTTTTCTTTTGAAAAGTTAACAGGAACAATGTGTACTGCTGAATTCATGTACTAGGTGACTTTAGAACAACCAGCACAATAAAACCCTGCATGCTGCTTTCTTTCACCATATGTTGAGTAGGAAAAAGTGCCTACAGTCTGTAGTGAAACTCACTCTCACAATTTTTGAGTACTTGCCACTTGACAAATAGCTGCACCCTTCAGAATGCAATTTGTTGAAGGAATAATTCACATAAAAATGAAAAATATTTCAGATTTGGAGCTAAGCAGCACCTATCCTCATTCATTTTCATTGTATAGAGTATGGAACTTTCTGCCTAACATCTGCTTTTGAGTTCCACAGAAGAAAGCAAATCAAGTTTGAAACAGCATGAGGGTGAATAAATGATAACGCAATATTAATTTTGGGGTGAATTATTCCTTTGAAGTCGCAAACGTAATTACTTCCATATTGTGGTGCTTTTCAAAGTGAAATAAGATATTCAACAAGAAAAAAAAAATGTAGGGCATGACCTGATTTTATCGATCACCAATTGATTGGATCATGAAATTAGGGCATTCAATACCAGAATAGAGGAAAACCTGAATGCAATTCAGCAGTCAATTCAGAGGATTGAAACACAGCCGATTTTGAGAAGCTTTTTTTTACTGGAACATGGATGCTGAAGTTCACGGTTACTATTGAAAGCATCTTCACCTATAGTAAAGTAACATTTCTTTAAAAAAAAAAAAAATCATTATTTGTTAATATTTCCACAATAAAAAGGTTATTAATCAGAATTAAATTACTACATTAACTACTGGTATAATTAAAGTCATGCTGCATTTATTTTGCTACAATAGTATCTTAAAACAATGCCTATTTAGCTGTTGGGCTATAAATTAATATTAAAACCAACTAATAGCCAGCACAGCCTAGCTTGACAACAGCCACAAAGCCACATTTTGACAAAAGATTACATACATTTTTTTTTTCTTTTCCTTTTTGGAAGAAAACACCCGACAAGTAACATTGATTTTATCTCAGTAAAAAATTACCTGCTTATCTTGTATGTCTAAAGTTTTTCTCTAATTTTCACACATGGAATATTCACCACAATAAGCTACCAAATCAAAAACATGACAAAAAATAAGCACATGTGAAAGGTGCAGTTTCACGAGACACTGAGACTGGCTCATCTTGTATATGATCTGCACTATATAAGAAAAAAAAACAGCTAAATAAACCATTGTCATAAACTGTCATAAAATGTAATAACTTTTACCCAACATTATTAATATAAAGGCTGTTTTACTTTTCTCGATTCTCTCTCTAATCTGATGTTACAAACCAGGAACACTGATTTTCAGTCAAGAGTTCAGAGTGACAGTTCAATGTCTTCATTTCCATGCTCGAAATTTGCTCTAGCCTCATTCTCTAAAATTCCTGTTAAGTCCTTCATCTGTCGTTCCTTGTGATCCAAGCCGTTTCTGAAGACCATCTGTTCACATCCATACTGGGCCAAATTAAATGAGGCAAGAGCGCTCTTCTCCCCCCATTACCCCTGAGCAAACATATTTAGTTTTTATGTGATGGTTTGATTAATGACAGTAGCATGTGATGCATCTCACCTTTGCGTAGAAGTGTGAGGGGCTCCAGGACTCCCTTACGGAAGGCGGCGGCAGGGTCCTGGACGCAGGAGCGCAAGCTGAGCAGGCTCTGCAGGTGCGTCTCTCTGAGCAAGAGCTCTCGATAAGCATTGAGGCGAGGAGCTCTGCACAGTAATGCGGACACACTGTGCACAAACTCTGGGACCAGGCATGTGTATGTGTTATCAGCCTGACAATAGTGATAGGCCACCACCTACAACAGAAGAAACGGGTGAAGGAGGTAAAAACAGAAAACAGATGGAAAAACATTGAAAATGGGAGTTTTGGACAGGTTGAAAACAAAAAGGAAAGAGGGCTTGTTCACCCAAAAATGTCAAAAAATTTCTACTCATATTTTCTTTCTTTCTATGGAACCCAAAAGGGCGAATTAAACGGAGAAAGAATATCCTGACAGCTCTGGGCTCAGTCTCCAAAAAGCTTTGCAAACCTAAGTAGATAGACACAATTAGCAACAATGGTCTTTATGATCTACTTTTGCTTACAATGCTTTGGGAATCACAGCCCTGGATTGGTCAAGGCTCCAAGGTGACAAAAAAAGCACCATAAAAGTACCATAAAAATGGTCCATGTGACTTGTGTGCTATATTATTAAGTCATATGATGGCTTTGATGAAGAACAGACCGAAATTGATTTTCACTGAAAATCTATCTTGATTCCACGGTGCATTCATGAGGGAAGTAGAAATGGCTGTTTCAAGAATGGACCACTCTTTTGACTCTAATCTTTTTAAATGAATTGGTTGATCCAGTTAGCAACAATAGTCTGAATGATTTCTTAATCATTCTAAATGATCCGGTTTAGGTCAGTTCACTCAATGACTCAATGATCCAGTTGCAGCAGAGGGGAAGATTATAAGTGAATAATGAATTCAATTTCGGTCTCTTTTCAATGCTAATATGACCTCAGAAGACTTGGAATATGGAAAGTCATATGGAATACTTTTATATTAATTTCAGATTCAAAATCTATCCCTCTTTTGTTCCACAGAACAATAACATGCGTGAGTAAATGGTGATAATTTTCAACTTTGGGTGAACAATTCCTTTAAAGGGCAATGCGTTTTTGTTTCTTTCTGCCTTTTATTCTTTGCTCTTTGTAAATCATGCGTTACACTGTTACAGGATCAAACCTGCTCTCTCCTTATTTCCACACCAAGATTCTGATCACCAAATAAACGTCATTAATGCGTCAATGTGGGCAGTCATGTGTTGAAATGGTTATCTTTGCAGAAGGTACAGGATTACAGCACGAGTCTATTTTGGAGCTTAATTTAAATGCTCTTCCACTGGGGAGGAAGTTTTAGGTTCTGAAAGTAGCAGTACTGTAGGTTTTCAAAGCACATGGAGCTCTTTTATCTCAAAGATCAAGGAAAATCTAATTCCTCATGATATAACCCCTTTAAGGTTTGTTTGACTATCATGAGTCCCAAATCGTTCTGAAATACTGGCAAATCCAAGCTTCTGAACAGAAGTGAGAATGAAATTGTGGCCTGAAACGACTTTCCACTGACAGATGGCTGATTAAAAAGACGTGACTAGAAGACTCAACAGAGAAGGTTCAGGTCCAGATGTAAATGGAAAAATATGCGCACATACTGGCACACAGAGCAAAGTGTTGAATATGCATGTGGCATGCAGTTTGCCTCTGTCACGGAATGACACATCTAAAACATCGCACAAAACATCATGTGTATTTATAAATAAACATGAGAGCTGCTCGGTGGAATCTCTTTATTTTGCTGTAAAAATTTTTGAAGAGCTTCCATTTTTAAAATCGCCCAATCAAAAAAAAAATTAAATTCTATTGTCTGGAAGTGGGCATTTTTGGACACGTGTCACGAAGCCCATTAAAAAAAAACAATAATTATATATGTAATATAAGAACATTATTAAGTAAGTATATAGAACATTATTCACATAATTAAGGAAAGCAATTAATTAAAGTGCAGATCAAATCTAACCAGCGACTACAGTTGCCATTCCAAGCTGTTTCAGAGATAGGAATCTCTTTATTGATTTAATATTATTTTTCCACTGAATGAAATGCCAGTTAGTATTACCTGAATATCAACTGTTATTTTACCCAGAAAGTTGGAATGAAACAAATAAATAATAAATAGTACACTCAAAAAAAGTTTACAAATTTGCATTTTTATTATTTTTAAAAATGCAGTAAAACCGTAATATTGTAAAATATTATTGCAATTTAAAATAAGTTTTCCTTTTTTAATACATTATGTATTAATGTAATTTATTCCTTATTTCAAAGTCTATGAAAACTAGTCTTGTCCAAATAGGGCTAAAGTGTTTACCTTGTTAGCCAGGCGTTTGACTGCCCCCTCTCTGTGCCGGTGTGTGTCTGGGGTCGAGGGGCAGCTGTTGCTGTGGAGGGGACTCTGTGAGGGGGGGTTCAGCTGATTGGTTTGATGAGCATCAGCTCCTCGATCTACAACACAAACACACACAATTCCCCTATTATTTTACATTAATTCAATGCATATGGGTATTGCAGGTCTGAAAATCTGAGATACTAACACATCTCAGTTGAAGTTTACATATTCATCGAAAGCCTCGTGTCCATGTGATCCAGAAGTTGAAAAATATGGAGATCAAAAACCAGCACGTCTTCAAATTTCTACTTTTGAGTTACAATGCTTTGCAATATGATGAGTAAACACAAAAAGTTAAACTATTCCTAAAGGGACATCTTACTCTGGGGTGTAGCTTCAGGGCTGTTGGAAGCAATCTGTCTCATTCGTCCACCATGACAGCTGAGAGCCACCAGCCGTGATATCACTGCTGTCTTTCCGAAACCGACGTTACCTATGATGACAGCCCCTTTACCCTCACCGGCCTTTCCTCCCCCCGTAAGCACCTCCTCCAGCCGCTGAAACAGCCAATCACGACCCACAAACACTGCATCCATAGAGACGCTGGGCACCTCAAACAGCAGGGGTTTGAGCATGATGTCCACTGGCTTGTAGGGCGTGAGACGAGCTGCAGGATTCAAACAACACAGGTGTTAAAGGGATAGTTCACCCAAAAATGAAAATTACCCCATGATTTACTCACCCTCAAGCCATCCTACGTGTATATGACTTTCTTCTTTCAGACAAATACAATCGGAGTTATATTATTTGTTGCTCTCTCCTCTACGCTTCCACGTTCGTCACTTCTCACCAGAGCTTACACTATGCCTATGTCCTACGTCATCCGCTGGAACGCCACTCTCTCATGAACACGCGTACTACAGTTAGCGGAAGCTAGAAATTACGGTTTAAATAAATATGGATAAAATTGTTATTACAAAAATGCATTGATTCTGCTCAGAAGGCCTTTATTAACCCTTTAACCCCCAAATAATTGTTTGATATAACTCCAATTGTATTTGTCTGAAAGAAGAAAGCCATATAACCCTAAGATGAGGGTGAGTAAATCATGGGGTAATTTTAATTTTTGGGTGAACTATCCCTTTAAAATAAACCACACACAGACAGACACACACACAACTCACACAGGCAAATCAATGTAGAACATATTTCAAATGAAATGAATCACAAGAATGAATCATAAGGCCTTGAATTGCTTGAAATGAAAACATAAAATGGAGCCCAAACACCCTATTTATTTTCTTTATAAATGCTTAAACATGTCAGATGTATGTCACATTCTGGAGGTTAAATGCATTGCTGCTTCATGCAGTCTTCACAGGGTAAATGTACTAATAAAAGTTACTTATATTGTTTACATTTAATTTGGCAATTTGTAGCGGTTAGTCAGCACCTTTAGTTTCTTGATTGCGGCCCCCTGTATGAGCTCCATGCCACTGTAAACGCATGGAGGAGCGCTGGGGAGCGTTCCTCTGTTCATCCAGATACCGCAACTCCTCCAGTTTAGTAGTGCTAGTGGCTGCAGGGAGAAAGACAGAATTAGAGAAGGAGAGTCATTTAGGGTTGTGTTTGGCTCACAGACAGCAGAGAGATTACATGCCACCTATACAATCTGCCGCTGTGTGTGGAGGAACGCGTGTACCCAACACCCCCACCCACCCCAATTCATATATACACACTGCTACAATTTTTGGAGAAACATTTTTGGCTTGTACACTCTCAGAAAAAAAAGGTACAAAGCTGTCACTGGGGCGGTACCCTTTCAATAGGTATGAATATGTCGACTTTGAGTACTAACATGTACCTCTAAAGTACCAATATACACCCTTTAGGGCAGGGGTCTCCAAACTCGGAGTTTAGCTCCAATTCTAATTAAACACACCTGAACCAGCTAATTAAGGTCTTAAACTGCCCTCCCGCCATGTCTTAATTACCGAAATTCCAAGATGACAACATGTGACATTCTACTCTGAGCTGTCCATGGACCCATAGAAACCCATAATCTCTGCAGACGGGCATAAACACAGGGATGATGATTGTCATTTGTCACGTTGCATTTGTTTGTGGAGGGACTCAAATGCAAAATCATGATCCAGCCCTTTGAAGCTGCACACATATAAACACATTAGCTTCCTTTTTCAACGCTCTGCAGGACAAAGATCACCACAGACAGGCACTTGGCGAGACATTTTGCTTTGTTGGAGTCATTCTGTATATCTGACAGCAATTTCTCTATTTAGCTTTACAGCAAGAGGAAATCAAAGCCACCCGCTTGCAGAGCTTTCCACAAGCCGCAGGAGGAGAGGCAGCCAGGCGATATATTGTGCACTGAGCTTTTCCCTTCCAAGACATGCTACGGTGTTAAAGAGACCAGCAACAGACTCATTCAAACACACACACACACACACACACACACACACACACAGAGAAACAGACAACCAGCTGCAAACCTTTATATTAGCTAGCTTGAAGACAAAAAAAAACACCCTTCAAAAATCTGAGGTCAGTAAGGTTTTTTTTTTAAAGAATTTAACACTTTTCTTCAGCAAGAATGCATTAAACTGATCAAAAGTGACAGTAAAGACATTTACACTGTTACAAAAAAAACAAAACTATTTCCAATAAATGCTGTTCATCTTTGTATTCATCAAAGAAACCTGAAAAATATTAAGCAGCACAACTGTTTTCAACATTGATAACAAGAAATATTTATTGAGCACCAAATCAGCATATTAGAATGATTTCTGAAGGATCAAGTGACACTGAAGACTAAACATTCAGATTTGTGAATTAATAGATTACATTTAAAAAATAAAAATATATTAAAATAGGAAAATAGTTATTTTAAATTGTAATTTTCACAGTATTTCTGTTTTCACTGATTTGATCAAATGAATGCAGCCTTGGTGATCATAAGAGACTTTAAAACTTTAAAAGTTTCTGGTCCAAAGTACATATACAAAATAACAGTATTTTGCTAACATACTTTTATTATTTTAAATAATGTTTTTATAGTTTAATGTGGTAACATTTTAGCGGTTCAGTAAGTGACTGATTCAGTGAGTTTATTCAAACATACATTTTTGAGTTTAAGAGTGTTTCCGAGTAATTAATTACAAAAAGACTACTAAGAGTCATTCGTTTGTGAATCAGACTAAATTAGTAGTTAGCCAGCAAAGACAAAGCAACAGAAAGACATACCGTCTACACATTATTTTGCAGTACACAACATTTTTATCTAATCACATTCAATTCAGATCACAAGCTCACATCTTGGGTAACATACAACTTCTTTTAGCTTTGTGCTACAGATTCAGCAGGGGTGGAATGATGAATAATGTGCAGAAAACATTAAGGTACCAAACCCCTCATCCAAATTTTATAATATAAAGATAAATAATACAGCATGTGATGATTAATTACTCACCTGCCACAGAATTTGGACGTGGCATAACCAAAGAAGTGCTGTGGTATGTGATTGGTCCATCCACAGGTGATGTCACGACGGGTGTTGCCCCTCCTGTGGTGCCTGTCCTCAGCTGGGCTTCACCAGACACCGCCGGCTCCTCTGGGGTGATGGGAGTGCAGGGCGGATGAGTGCTACGCCCGCTCTCGCCCCTTACACCCGCACCTCCATCTTTCGCCCACTCCAGACTAGAGCCACAGCGCTCTTCATTCTCGCTGGAACTGGTGACTGTTGCTGCAGGATGAAGAGAAAGAGAGAGAGATGAAGGTGAATGAGGTATGGGGGGAGGGGCCAGATATTAATGGGAAGGACACAAGAGGAGAGAACGACACAGAAGGTCAAAACCAGAACATCACGGAAAAGAAAACAGGAATTAACCATCAAAGGCAGTTTTGGAGAGATGGTCAACAAACAATGATCTTGGAGTGTAAGGACACCAGACAGGACTCGTTCAGGTAATTGCTGTCAGACGTTTTGCTTTAATGCAGCTGTCTTTGACCTTTCTTTGCCGCAACCAAATAGAAAAACACTATTTTGGGCTTAAAAAAACCCTACTGATGTCCTACTTCAAGAAACCTCCGGCAGACCTGAAATAAAGACAAAACGCTGTCCCAGTTTTGATAGAGCGTATCTCAGACTCATGAGCATTAACAGCACAGACCAACAAAAACACTTCAAGAAAGTTAACAAACAGAACAAACCATTGAACTGTTTGTTGCTGCCGTGTGTTTTGAGTTTGAGCTCCGTCAAGTGCTTTGATAAGTCGGTCTCAGGAAGTCTAGCGCTCACTTCCTCTCTTCCTCACAGTCCTGGTGCTGTTTTTTGGTGGTGCAGAAAAGTCAGTCGTGCATAAACATACACACCTCTGTCAGCATCTCCAAATGTGCTGTAACATGTTAGAGATGTTGAAAACTCATAAACAGCTCTGGGAGACATAGAAGAAGAGCAGAAGGAGAATGGGGGAGTGAAACTGACCCCTTATAAAAGAAGTAAAGAACTGACATTTACAATAAATATAATGAACTCCTCAAGTACTCTACGCACTAAACTATGAAATCTGAATATAGACCAATCACAATTCAGCAGCTTTCATTATAAGGACTCAGAGAAAATTATCTTTTTTTTTTTTTTTTTTAATCTGTGTTGTTTATGAAGAAAGCCATATATATTTGGGAAGGCATGAGGGTGAGCAAACGATGGAAGAATTTTCATTTTTGGGTGAAATATCTCTTTAATCACCAGGTTCAGAGCAGGCATTGAAGATTGAAGAGGAGCTACTGCTGTCTTTGCACTCAAAAAGCCTGAAAATACTCTAAATAAAATGTCTGTAGCTCATAAACCTTTTGAATAAATCATAAGGCATGATTAACGAGCTGTTTGCAAAAAATTTTCCACAAACAAGCACACTTTTGCATCAAATACCTTTTTGTAAAAAAAACTCAGTTCTGTCAAAAGATGAAAAATAAAACACTTTATGGACTTTATCTTCCTTTATATACCAGCATTTTTCCTGCTGAACTTCGATGATTAAATTCTACCAAACAAAAAACACAGATGACTTGAATTTAGTTAAATGTCATTTCTGTTCAGAAACAAAAATGAAAAATGAAAAAGTATTGAACATTTTCTCTTGTGCTTCTGACAGCTGGATGGTAGATCAGCTTTTAATTCAGCCCGACAGATATGCTTTCACGCTTGGCTTGAATAGGCCATTCATCAGTGAGTTGTTTCTCTTTTTGTTTTGTGTTCAATGTGAAAGAGAATTAACTCTGAAATTATCGACAAAACAAAGTTTGTACGGAGCCTATATGCTGTAAGCAGTCGTTGGAAAAACGGTAGCAAACAATGTTGGACTTTGAGATAAAGGAAAACTTTGATAAGTAGGGTGGTAGATGTTACCTATGATCCCGCTGTCCTTGCTCTCCAGGGTGGAGCTGGGTGTGGTGATGATGGTGGAAGTGGCAGTGGAGCAGGTGCTGGAGCAGATGACAGGAGCCCTGCTGTTGGAGGAGGTCTCGGGTAAGGTGGAACAGGGGCTCTCTGCGCTGGGAGACGCCGTACTGCTAGTCAATGTGGAGCAAGGACTAACGCCTTGACTGGACACTATACACTACAGAGTGAGAGAGAGAGAGAGAGTGAGGAATGAAGCAAAAGAAGCAAACAGAAGAAATAAATAAACACTGCATGAAGAAAAAAAAAAAGAGACAGGAGGAAAAGCAAACAGGGAGCGAGGAGATAAAGTGATAGATGGAAACTGTTAAACTCGGCTCTTATGTCCATACAAGGGCAAGGCCAAAAATACTCCAAGCCCTCCAGTCTGCTTTTGTTCCAATATAAGCAACCAATAAGATGCTTTTAGAAACAGATTCAGCCCTGTAACGGCGACAGTAACCAACACACAGACAAACGTACATCCGCATTTTACCAGTGTTTATACTGGCAATACTTTAGTTAGGGATAAAGAGTGAATCGGCAAATCTGGTCAAATAAGCCAACAAGTTAAGATAAAGAGAAAAAAAGAAAGAAAACCTGTTGAATTAAAGGTTTAAGGTTTTGAGACCTAAATGTTTCTTAATCCTGGTCTTATTGTACAAAAATTAATCTGTGATTACAACGTTCCACAGTCGAATCAAGTCAAGATGGAAAAAATGAAATCCATTTCTACATGTTCTTCCCATTTCACACAAATACATAATTATGGAAATAAATATTGGTTGTGAAGAATTTCAGGTTGACTTGGTGGTTCAGTGGTTCTCAACCTTCTTTGACTCAAAGGCCCCATTCTACAACACAACTTTTAGAGCCAATAGTATTTCTGCTGTAATTATGACAGAGCTACTATTTATATATTAAATTAATTAACCATGATTAAGTTTGTGACTCCAGAAGTTTCAAGAACTGTATGTTCTTCAGTAAAAACTTATTACATCTTTATATTTTTGTGCTTTTGTTTTAGTATTTTAATTCAGGTCAGATTAATTATTTTAATATATTAATAATAATCCATTAACTTAAAATTGAAGTCATCCTGTCGTGGCTCTTGGATGTTTGCTGAGGGCTGGGCCCCTGGTTGAGAACCAATGCTTTAAAAAGGACTGGAAGAGCTGAATGCAGATTAGCCCAAAGAACTAGCACAATGAATGCTGGTGTGTGAGAAATTATGGGTAACCTAGGGCCCTATGATTTCCGAGATGCAGAAAACGCAGACAGAATCGCGGAATTCAGTCATAAAAATTTAATTTAATGTATAACTCGGAATGTCACAGAATTTGCCAAATTTTGGTTGAATGAATCAAAACTAGGTCAGTACATTCAAATAAAAACACGATATGGACTAGTGTCTGTTAATATTAAGCCGCAAAAATACTATTTAAAAATTAATCCTGCATGTTCTGCGTGTCTCTGTGTGAATGAAAGGCACGACGAGCGGTTTCATTTACTACACACATACTGAAGCGCACATGACGCTCACTGTGTTTTCAGCCTCTGCCGACGAGTACATGAACACATGAACATAATCTCTAGAATTGCTCTGAGAGTCACTTCATGAGCATTTTACCGTTTCTTTCGAGAAAAAAGTCATATCATATACAAACAGAAACTTAAACAGCAACCCGTCAAAATAAAAGTTCATTTTAACTTGAATAAACTGTGACAGAAATATATTACTTAATGTAATGATAGTACTACTACTACTTCTAAAATTATTATTAAAACATTATTTTTAAGGAATATTTACCAGTAAAATTATTTACCAGAAAAATGTAAATACACAACACTATATTTCTGGAAAAAAAATAAAAAATAAATAAATAAACAAAATAATAATAAATTATTTTTTTTGATAAAATCCGTTAATTAGAGATGCTTTTGATTATTCAAATTTATTAAACCATTAAAATGGAATCCAGAAAATTAATGGAAAACACAGATTTTGGTAATAAATTGCTGCTAAATTGTGTTAGTTTCATGATTTCAATTAATTAGACATGCTTTTTGATTAATATTTTTAATTTAACCATTAAAACAGAGTCAGAGAAAACAGAGAAAATTTACAGAGAAAATTTAAATGGAAAAAACTGAATTTGGAAAACAAATACAACGGAATTTGGGAAAAAATAAAACAGATTTCATAGGGCCCTAGGTAACCTACCTGCTGCATATCTGAAGGAAGTGCTTACAGAGCATAAACCAACAGAATGAAAATTTCTGCTCGACTCTTGTTTTAATACTGTACAGAGTATATCATACCCTAGATACTACTCTGTCCTCTCCTCTTACCTCTCTCCGCACTCTATATAGGTCAGGGAGAGTGATGGTGTGCGTGTGTGTGTGTGTGTGTGTGTGTGTGTGTGTGTGTGAGGGGAATCAGTGTACCGGAGACCCGGTCCACAGAGAACTGTTGCCTGCCAGCCGCTCACCAATGAAAGATTCTTATCTCTCTACACACACACAAACACACATCAGAGTAAAGCAGAGCTCAAGCTTTCAGGTAGAGCTTCATGCACCTGTTCTATAATTTCTTCAGTGCTGCAATAGCGTTAGATGAGTGTGCGTAAGAGGAACACTGTTGCTCCACCTGCATCATTCGTTTTCAGATGGAGAAACTGCATTACTCACCGGCAGCAACATCTCCAGGGTGCTTCTCCACATCCAGACGGTTTCTACCCTTATAAAGCAGCTATGCACGTACAAGGCAGCAAACACGCAGAAACCACCATTCATACTTAATGTGTTGCGTTTGAAAAGCCAGAAGGGAAAGTCAGAAACTGGCCAATCAGAAAGCAGCTTTTCATTTGTGATAATACATGACTGATGAAGCATGCTTGTGGATGAATTCAGCAACTAGTAGCTTTATGTGCAGCAATCCATAAAAACGCTACGTATGCCTCTTAAGAGCAACTTAGATTCCAGATAAATGCCTCAAAACCTCTGTATGATGTACCTACTGTATGATGATGTGGACACACCATCACAAATATCCTTAAATTGTAGAAACAAACACAAAAAGATGCTGAACGAAGATCTTTTTAGTAATCAGGAATTAGTATATTACAGCTATACAATAGAAAACACAAAGCACAAGTCTGAAACGTCATACAAATACAGCTTAAAAAAAATAAATATAATTTCAGTAAATTATTTTAAATAAAGCCTTGTTTATCTGGAATCTAAGTCACTTACAATGTTGGTACTATATGTAAATGAATGTGTACTCTTTCTCCATGCGTTACCTGCATCCAAATCTCCCATTTTATTGGTCAGCAAAAAGCACCATCCTAAGGACTTTTGACAGCTTTTGTGAAAACTACAGATTGTACTTCCACACTTTTGTATCCCCACTGACAGTTGGATCAAACCCAGAGCAGTTTCCCTACCTTTTTGGCAAAAGCGAAGCGTCATGTAAGGACCGATTTAAATACAAATTGCATTTCTGTAGCAAAGTTTTATTAAAAGCCAATCTTGCCAGCAGTGAATCACCCCTTTAAGAGTACGAACAACCAAGTGTAATCTAAAACAAAGCTCTTCCATTAGTGTGTCTGGAGTGAAAGTGTGATTCTGAGGGCAAAACAGCTCCTGCAGTGTAATCGATCTCTCTGATAAATGACCTCTGGTATTTAAGGCTGATTGGGTGTAACCTGACTGAAAAGAAAATTCAGAAGCCGTTTCCTCTTTCTAAGGATGTTATCCTAATCTTGCAATCTTCGGTGACATGATGCAGCAGGCAGGTTGTTTGTGTATCAGATTGCATGTCTGTCAGAGTTTGGGTGTTTAGACCTAGACAGACAGACACACACACACGCGCGCGCACACACACAGACGTTCATTCATTCTCTCCCCTTCTTACGTGCACCGACACCATCCCACAATTCTGAATCGCCAGACATAAAAAGAAACATTCATTCTCCATTAATTTAATGTTAGATACTGACATTTTAGGGATTTAATTCAGTGATATTCATAGAGTTGTGTTGAAAATCGGTTCGATTTGGAAGAGAGACCAATTGGCTAAACATTAAATACATCAACTCAAAATCACTTGTTAAATAAATATTTCTGATTTTGCTGCACATGATTTATCAGTGCATGTTATTCTAGTGAATAGAAAAAAAATGTTTTGCTAATGTAACCAAGGCCATGTAGGTGGGGGAAAATATTAACCAATAATATTATAGACTGACAGACTTCCAGCAGAATATTGTTTCACTCAGAAATACGTCTTCCAGCAGAATATTGTTTCACTCAGAAATACGTCTTCCAGCAGAATATTGTTTCACTCAGAAATACTTAAGAAAATCTGTAAGGTTTACTGAATCAACTGTAAAAAAAAATATATATATATATATACCAACACACACATACACACACACTCATGGCAAAGCTGAATTTTCAGCAGTCATTACTCCAGACTTCAGTGTGACATGATCCTTCAGAAATCATTCTAATTTGCTGATATGGAGGTAAAGAAACATTTCTTATTATTATCAATATTGAAAACTGCTTTAATATGGCCACTAAAGTTTCATCACTGATACCACATTACTTTGCACTTGCAAGTAACCACCCAGCAACTGCAAAGAACCCACTTTTAAGTCTCAGTCATATGCTGATCTCATTCAATGCCAGCCATTGTAATTTTCCCGGTATTGTGTTTGTAAACATGTAGGGGTATATGCGGTCAGTGTATTTGTTGATGTTTTCATTTTTGTGTCAAACGTTCAAATTCACGCAGCTGCTTTTGGCCCAGAGACATTGTATTAGACTACTTCAAACCGAACTACACAGCGCAGAGTAAATGTGTCATCTGAATCTCAGAATGTTATGACTGGCTCAGAGTAGACGTCTTACATCAGCGCGTTCTGAACTCATACATGCTCATACCGGTAATCTTCATTCTGCGTTCACAGAGCACATTACCGGTAATTTACTGGTAATGTTACAACTTCTCATACTGGTAAATTGGCAGAACAAATTTACCGGTATTTTTGAAAAGGTCCTGTTTACACATGATCTCTTAACAGGAATTTTCGGGTAATTTAGATACATTCAGTTTTTTAAAAAACAATTTCATATTTCAATATTTAAAATATTATTTTTTAAAACACTAATCTCATAGTATCATTGATGCAAGTGTAATTGCAGTGTAAATACATCTAAATGCTGCTTTAGAGGCAGTTTCTGAAACCCCTCTGCGGTGCAAAAATGGATTTTGTGGATCCTGATTCATTTGATTGGTAACAGCCTACAGTGACTCTATTCAAATTGAATTTATTGATTAAAAGAATTTGACATAAATGATAAGAATATCACACACCCATAATTCAACATATAGTATATAGATACTCAAACTAACATTCACATATACAAAATGCCACAAAACTCTAATGATGTCATATTTACCAAGTAAATACCAAGACACAAAAGCATAACTTAAACAAATATGTGGTCAGTCATATTTACACGATTACGATATGTAAACGAGCAGGGCAGTCTTGTGTAGCATCCCTGAGGGGGTGGCAGGGCAATAGGCCACAGTTCATTAGCATACTGCACTCCGTCAGCAACACACTGTCCTGCTCCCTCCCTCCCTCATTAACATCTCCTACCATCAATCCAGCTTTACACAAATACTTCATGATCGATTGATGCTGCTGGTCAGGTAGTGTTGTTTGCTTTCGACAGACTGCAGATTTCACAGACAAACCTCAGGCAGAATCCATATTTAATACATCATTCATAAAACATTTATTAACATTCAATGAAATGCGGCATAAGCACGCTCGCCCTCCGGGTCTACATTCGAAGGCATATAAAAGCATGTTAAACCAGATAAATGTTCCCTAATTAAACAATTTATTCTGCTTTTCTTTACATACAGACATTAGGAGAGTGAAATGAGTGTAGATCGTTTCGAAGCACGTTTACGGTGGTCCACAAGTCTGCAGCCAGCTCCTCTCAGCTGGTATCCAGTTGATCTGTGTTTGTCAAAGGACACAGACCTCCCAATGAGTTCACACATTTCACTCCCCTTTTGCTTATGAAGACTATGTATACCAAACCATTTCCTCCACACGCGCACACACACAGAGTTAGACATGGCTTGTTTTTGCAGAGCACTCAAGCAGTAGTGTAGTGGTGCCTTCTCATTTTGGCAGGCCAGAAGTCTAGAAGACTAGTAACACTTGTGTGTGCGTGAAAATCACTTCAGAACTGTTGCCAAATTCCCTCCTGATTGTTTGAGTGAGCTACGTAAATCTAAACTCTAAATGTGTGATATACGGCAATGTACTGGAATAAACCTGTGTAATGACTTTGATGTCATGAATACAAGCAACAACACCATTTATAGCATCAGATGTTACTCATAAATGAAAAATCGTACTGTTTATATTTTTTATTTTATCCTCTATACACGAACACATTTTAACTGTTAATAGTGTATTAAAATAAAATAAATTAATAAATATTTTAAAAAGCAGTGATGAATAAGATGAAAATTTACCTCATAATCAGAACAAAACATACAAATAGTGGAATCATGATGATTCAAGTAACAGACAAGGAAAGAGTAGCAATACAATGGAGATGGTGTCAGTGATTCTACAAATATAATCTATCTATCTATCTATCTTGGTTTTGGGATTTGGTTTATGTTCATGTTTTCATGTCTTTTATTTTGTATTTTCTTGTCTTGGTTCCTGCCTTGTCATGTACTTCCCTGACCCTGTCATGTGACCATGCTCACGCCATGCCTGCCAAGCCAGATCCTGCTCACGTCATGCCTGCCAAGCCAGAGCCTGCTCACGTCATGCCTACCAAGCCAGAGCCTGCTCACTTCATGCCTACCAAACCAGTGCCCGTTCACATCATGCCTACCAAGCCAGAGCCTGCTCACGCCACGTCTGAGTCATCAGCCAAAATGGTCGCCACGCCAGAACATCGTCACATCATGGCCATCACTCCAGAGCCTCGACCCAACATGGGTGCCACTTCAGAGTCTCAACCCGTCATTGCTGCCATGCCAAAGCCTATAGGACACAAGCTCCAGTGTTTGCGGAACTTGGGCCAAGACAGATAAGACTAATGGCAAGTGTAATGGATCCACCAATGATGTCAGTGCGAGCGTCTGACACCCCGGTAGCCTGAACGCTCCCAAACCCTGCGGCCTCAGTGCTGTCCAACCCTGAGGTCCTCCCTCCGTCAGCTGTACTGCCCATGATGGCGGTTTCCATATTATGTTTTTGGGCTACAAACGGCACTCCAGTCCATGAATCTGCAAAAAAGCCTGCATCAGTCCTTGAGTCCGCTTCAGAGCCCGCTCCAGTCCACGAATCCGCTCCAGAGCCCGCTCAAGTCCCAGAGTTCAGTCCTATTTTGGCACCAGTCTGTGAGTTTCCTGCTTGTCCTGTTTTGACCACAGTGGTCACACGTGCCAGTCATGTCACGGCCAAAGAGGCCGTCTCTGAACTCACAGTCTGTCCTGTCACGGCCAAGGAGGCCGTCTATAAACTCTCAGTCTGTCCGGTCACGGTCAAAAAGGCCGTCTCTGAACTCACAGTCTGCCGAAAGTCGTGTATGCCTACGGTTGAACATAAATGATGTTTATAGTGAATGCCCCTATAAATGGTCTTATTTTTATGATTTAGTTTTTA